GATGCTCTGAGCAGGAGTAGTATGCTAATACGCTACCGCTTGCACCTTTGAAAAGAACTGAATCAGTGGTCAAATGAATTTTTAATTCTTAGAACTACAGCTTTTTGCGCGAAGTAATCATCTAACCCGTCCTGGGGCCCGTCCTGGGGCTCCCAGCTCCGGGATGCAGAGCACCCAGACAATTACCGTTACCATCTTCTGCCCACGCTCAGGGTACTTTTTGGTCGAGCCGTATTTGCGACAAAAAAGTTGGATGGGTGCATCGAAATGAGATTGTGTCGTGGTATGAAATGTGTCGTCGATGTTCTGCGTCCATTGCGTTTTATTCCACGTTAAAGTCACCGTAGGATCTGGATTCCCGTATCGAGTTTCCGTTCATGTTGCCATCTGTGACTCCAGATGACCAATCCCATTATAGTTAGCCGTCATAATGGGGTACTTGCAGACTTTGAATCAGTAATTTAGAGATAAATATCTCGTGCTAAAGTGTTCCCAGCATGCACGAGATGATCTGAATCGTCATCCTCCAAAAAGTAAGGTTGTTGCCTCGTCAGTGACAATTATCACGTCGTGTAATCAAGCTGCTCCATTGCCAATGTCGGTCCCTCGGTGAATGTGCCAAATGCTCCTACGTCTTTTATTGGATTTGTTAATGAATGCATGGACTTTCCGGATTGCTCATCAATACTGGAATTAAACAGATTGTCATCTTTAAAAGTCAAGTCTATATTACTTTTATTCACAAAACTCAGTTTTTAGGGGGTTAGAACGTGCTTAAGTTTTTATTGGTATTCGTCAGAATTTTTCTTCAAATTCATTTTTAAACTGGTGAGTGTTTAGTTACAAAAGAGTAGACTTCAGTCATTTCCGGCGCTGCCTATTTATTTTAATGCAGGTTGTTGCTATCATCATGAACTCTTCGTCAATTTTGTTGTTGTGCTTTACTTCAAGATAATTTGCTGAAAACTTGTGATTTGTCGGGTCGGGTCGTAATTTATTTGATAGCGATTTCCGAGCTTTTCTTTTTCAAATTGTGCCAAATACACGAAGTCCTCTACTTGAAGGGCTGTGCTCAAGTTGTGATGGGTGGCAAAACGGCCTAACTTGTTATGTTAGTGCAAGCTTGCCTTTATTTACTTTGCTAGAGCAGTGATATCAACTCCTGCAGTTTCACTAATAATCATTTTACCAGTAAAGATTCATTATTTGTATTATTTATTACTT